TTACCTCATTCCCCTTGTTGAGCTAGTGAAGCTTGTAAGGATGTGGATGATCTTTTGTTGGCAACTTCAATTTCTCCACCATATAGTTAGACACTACATTTTCACAACTCCCATGTCAATGATGACATCACAAACTTTTCCTTGGGTTGTACAATGAGTGTGAAAAATGTTACGTCATAGTTAAGGTTCTTCCTTGACTATAGTAGTATGTAGACTTCGTCTAAGCACCAATGCTTCTCCTTAATCTGCAAGCATGACCTCCTCATCATATACTTGATCAATTCCATAAAACTCAATCTCCTCCTCATCTTCTTTAGGTGCTTCATACACTTGCCCTTCCTTAATAGTGATAACCTTTTAGGTAGGACAATCTACATCAATGTGGCTAAATCCTTAGAATTTAAAGCATTTGATTGCTTTAGAGCTAGATTCCTTGGCATCATTTGTTAGTGGTTTGTGCAGAGCACTAGTTTACGGCTTACTTGAGGGGTTGGTCTGCTAAAACTCTGCCTTACGGGCATCTGAATAACCTCTGGAGGAAGTAGGCTAGAAAGATGATCTCTTGAGACTCTACTTCTCAACACTCATGGCTAGATAGATTACATCATCTAAGGTTCAATACTGCTGAAGCTGGATTGGATGGCTGATATCTGTGTTTAAGCCTGCAAGGTACTGGGCTATTGCTTGCTCCTCCTTCTCTTCAATGTCACACTTCACCATGAGTTTTTCAAATTCTCTAGTATACTCTTCTAAAGATAAGGACCTTTGTTGAAGATCTTACAGTTGGAGAAAATTATCCTGGTGGTAATGGTCTAGTAGAAATTTCTTAGTGAGTTGGCATTTTATTTTTTTTTCCAGGTCTCAATCTTGCACTTCCCCTCACTTTCTCACTTCCATATAAGGTTTTCCCACTAAATGGAGGCATATTTCTTGAGTTTAAAGGCAACAATCTTAACTTTTTGCACATCTGGAATCTCCTTATATTCAAATATACGTTCAACAGTTTGAATTCAATCTACGAACTCGTCTGGCTGGAGTCGGTGAAGTTGAAAACATTTTTGATTTTGAACCGAATTAATACATTTTAAACATCTCTTTAATTATGGTAAAAAATGTACGTGAACAAAATCAAATGGAGTGTCATCAAGTAGTTACGTGTGATATATTCTTTATAAATCTTGAAATTATCCAATTTATTATAGTAACATTATTGCTTCCCCCCTATCTACGTCGCTTATGAGAAAAATTAGTCACGTCATTGAAATTGTTTAAAAATTATTTTAATTTTCATTTTCACCTCTAATAAATATCATAATTTTTTAATACAAAAAGATACCATAATTGTCATACCCTAACATTAAGGATGTGATCGGCATGGAATGTGAATCTAATTAACTAGAAATTAAGTTAAAATATAGATATATAATTTATAAAGTTCATAAAATCTTAAATATTTTATAAAAATTTTGTGAAAATCTCTCCAGTAATTTGGATTTGTCAAAATTTTTACAGCAGCAAACCTATCAGCCAAACCAATAAAGAAGACTAGCTCCACACCAATAGATTTCAACAACAACAACAACAACAAGCCTTTATCCCACTAGGTGGGGTCGGCTACATGGATTGCAAGACACCATTGTGCTCTATCATTTATCAAGCTTTTAGAAATATTATTAATTAAGAGATCACGTTCAACAACTTCCAAGAGTGTTCTCTTAGGCCTTCCTCTACCTCTCTTAATCGGACTCAAAGTTATATGTTCCACTCTTCTCACTGGTGCCTCCCTTGGTCTTCTTTGTACATGCCCAAACCATCTCAACTGATTTTCTACCATTTTTTCCTCAATAGTGCCACCCTCACTTTTTCGCGTATGTGCTCATTTCAAATTTTATCTTTACGTGTATGTCCGCACATCCATCGTAACATTCTCATCTCTGCTACTCCAACTTTATGCTCTTGCTGTCCCGTTAGAGCCCAGCATTCACTACTATATAACATTGCCGGTCTGATAGCAGTACGATAAAACTTTCCTTTAAGTTTATTAGGCACCTTACGGTACAAATAACTCCTTTAGCTTTTCTCCAATTAAACCACCCAGCTTGAATTCTATGTGAAATATCTCCACTGATTTCGCCATCATTTTGAATAATGGCTCCCAAATATCTAAACTTTTCCACTTGAGGTATAATTTGATCTCCCAATTTCACTTCCAAATTATTTTCGAATAGTCCTTTACCAAATTTACAATATAAATATTCCGTCTTACTTCTACTCAGACGAAAACCTTTCGACTCCAATGTCCTCCTCCATAACTCAAGTTTGCAATTAACCTCTTCTCTTGTCTCTGCTATAAGAACTATATCATCCGCGAAGAGCATACATTTCGGGATTTCCTCTTGAATATGTTCCGTCAAAACATTTAAAATCAAGTTGAACAAATAAGGACTCAGAGATGATCCCTGATGTAGTCCAATCTTTATAGGAAAATCCTTTGTTTGACCACTAGGCGTTCTTATCCTAGTTTTTACCCCCTCATACATATCTTGTATGGCTTTAATATAAGCAATCCGTACTCCCTTTTTTTCCAACGCTTTCCAAAGCACTTCTCTTGGTATACGGTCATAAGCTTTTTCCAAATCGATAAAAACCATGTGTAGATCTTTATCTTTACAATGATACTTTTCCATTAATCCCCTTAGTAGATAAATCGCCTCTGTAGTTGATCTACCTGGCATAAAACTAAATTGATTCTCAGAAATACTTGTCTCCAATCTCAACCTGTGCTCAATTACTTTCTCCCACAATTTCATTGTGTGGCTCATGAGTTTAATCCCTCTATAGTTAGTACAATTCTGAATATCTCCTTTATTTTTATAAATAGGAATTAATGTACTTCTTCTCCACTCATCAGGCATTTTCTTGGACCGTAAAATCACATTAAATAACTTAGTTAACCATCTCACCCCTTCTTCACCTAAACATTTCCATGCTTCGATAGATATACAATCAGGTCCGTTGGCTCTACCATTTGCCATTTTCTTAAGAGCTTCCTTTACTTCCTTATCACGTATTTTTCGATAGAATGACAAATTTTGTTCTCCTTCACCAGTTACTAAATCCTCCAAGTTACTAGATGAATCCTCTCCATCATTGAAAAGTTTAGAAAAATAAGTCTCCCATCTATTTTTAATTTCATCATCTGTAACTAAAATTCTTCCCTCTTCATCCTTAATACACCTTACCTGTTCTAGATCTCTTGATTTTCTTTCCCTACTCTTAGCAATCTTATAAATATTTTGCTCTCCTTCCTTCGTCTCAAGGTTCTTATAAAATTCTTCAAAAGCTTTAGAACGAGCTTCACCCACAGCTCTCTTAGTTTCCTTCTTAGCCATACGGTACCTCTCCCAATTTTCCTCATTGTTACACAAATGTATGGCTTTAAAATAGTTCTTCTTATACTTGATTTTGTCCTGTACACTATTATTCCACCACCAAGACTCCTTATCTCTCAGACCAGAACCTTTCGATTCTCCCAAAACTACTTTTGCAACCTCCCGTATCTTTTTAGCCATATCCCCCCATATGATGTTAGCACTTCCCTGAGAATCCCAAATTCCTTTATCCAAAAGATTTCGCTTGAAAATATCTTGCTTCTCACCTTTTAATTGCCACCACCTAATGCTTGGTGTTACTACTTGTCGACATTTTTGGATTTTACTCATAATACACACATCAAGGACTAGGACCCTATGTTGTGTCGTTACAGCATCTCCGGGGATCACCTTACAATTTTTACAAAGTTTTCTATCTGTGTTCCTAACCAAAAGAAAATCAATCTGCGACCTTGAGGCTCCACTTTTGTAAGTGATGAGATGCTCATCTCTCTTCTTGAAACAAGTGTTGGCAATCTTAAAATCATACGCCAATGAGAAATCAAGAAGAGTTTGTCCTTCATTGTTTAGCTTTCCAAAACCAAAACCACCATGCACCCTCGCATACTGACCAGCTTCCCTCCCGACATGCCCATTAAAGTCTCCTCCAATGAAAATCTTTTCACTCTGTGGTATGTGTCGAATCAACCCCTCCAGATCCTCCCAAAATAATTCCTTAAGACTGGCTTCTGTCCCGACTTGCGGCGTATAAGCGCTAACAATATTAACAGTCTCACGTCCAATTATCATTTTTAAAGAAATAATTCTGTCTCCAATTCTGCTAACTTCTACAACGTTCTTCTTCCACTCCTTATCTATAATGATGCCTACTCCATTGCGTGCACTTACTTTTCCTGTATACCAAAGTTTGAAACCTTGAATATCCTTAGCTTCTTCTCCACGCCATTTTGTTTCTTGCAAGCAAAGGATATTGATTTTCCTTTGAATCATAACCCCTACAACCTCTACAGATTTACAATTTAATGTCCCAACATTCCAAGTACAAAATCTACACCAATAGATTTCATATCAACAAAATAAAACTAGGATCTAACTATAGTATATGTGAAGCCTTAAATTAATATTACATAATACAAAATATATTTATACCAAAATATCTAATGCATGCTTCCACTGTCCAGAATGCAATAGAGCCCCTCAATTTTATGTAATTATTTTGGTTTATAACATATGAGAAGTATTGGTCTAGCGAAATTTATACCCGTTACTTATATGAGGTCTAGAGTTTGACTTTAACTTAAGAAAAAATTCAGTTTTATTTTCCTTTATATGAGAATGCAATAGCCTATAAATTTTGGTTTAAAACAAAAAAAAATAGATAGTGAAATAAAATAAAATCTACGATAAGCCACGTTAAGGGTTTTTTTATTAATTTTGGACAAAATTTGCCAGCAAGTGTGGGGGTTTAGCGGGCATAGTGTTAGCCATCTGATTATCAGCTCATGAGTTCGAAACTTTTTGGTGTATATGGAAGACTTTTAATTTTCTTATCTAGACATAAGAAATTATCATTCTGCCCTAACCTCCCCTATCAGACTATTTTTCCCTTCCTTTCTCTTCCCTGGAGCTGGGAACGCATCAGAGTCGGCGGAGGGAGAGACCAAAACCTTCGAATCCTTGCTCCAGCTATTCCGCCCTCCGCCCTCATCACTGTCGCTTGTCTCGTTGCCTGCGACTGTGGGTATCCATCACCACCTTGCAACACCAGGTCCTCCGCCTTCCCTGCCTCTGTTTGCCTTCGTTTTTCGTCGTTCTGTTCTTGCTATTTGTGTTCGTATTCGTGTAGTGGGTGGCGTGAGAGATGAATTACTGATCTGAGTTGCTACTCGTGAATGTTTCGCTACTTGGTATGGTTTTGTTGGCTCTCTTCCTCTTCCTCTTCCTTGTGTCGTGTCAGATTTTCCCTCCCCTGTTCTGCTGTAGTTCTGCTGCTTCTTCTTGGATGTGTGCTGTCGCTATCCAAGGTGAGGAGCCTTAAATTCATCTTTCCTTTTTCTTGGTAACTCTATACATGTGCGTGTGTAAAGTGATAGAACATAGAAGTGAAGATGCAATTTTTTTTGTTTTTTAGTTCTGTGGCTGCCGGTGTTGCATGTGTAGAGGGAAAGGAATTTAAATTAAACTGGAAAATTTTATTGAAGTTTGATAATGATATATTTGGGTCAGAATTTTTGAGCAAAATTGATTTTTGTTTTGATTGGTTGATGTTGAAAGAATTAGTTAGAATATTGGGATAGAAGAACTTAGACATAAAACTTGGAGATTGGTGCCTATAAGGTGTTTGTTAAAATGTTTATTAGAAGGAGTTGCTTGATTGAGTATTTCCTAAAAATTTCATTTAATTCCTTGGAAGACATCAATAATTTGGATGCTATTACCTTGTGAATTAAGGTTGGAATTTCAAATTAAGGAGTATGTCTGTGAAGTGTTCGATAAAATGCCTATTAAAAAAATTAGACATATGATGACAAGATATATGTGATAATTAAATTATTGTTAATGAGATAATTATTGGAAGATAATTTTCCTTGACTGATGATGGAAGTTTGATTAGCTCAAATGAAGAAGAGGTTTGGTATTTATTTGAACTTTGATATAAATAGATACCAGAAAAAATGCTGGAAGTGAAGAATTTTTGCTGAATGATGAAAAATAAATCTGATGATTGTATTATTGATAAATAAATTATTATGGATGGCAATTATTTTCCATAAAAAAGTTGGACTTACAAATAAAAATGTTTGGGAAGAGTGTTTTGTTATTGGTAATTCAAAAGTCCATTTGCTATTTAAATATTAGTCTTTGCAATATCTATGAAATGTTGAGAAAAGTTAAAGTTACGATTGTAAACATTACTTTTTCTGAATTATTTGGATTGATAATGTCCAAAAATAAAATAAAATATAAAATTTATAGAAGAAAATAACTATGGTATTACTTGGCCACATTAGGATTTAAAAACAGTCATTATTGCAAGGGGATCAGTTAGAAGTAAATTATTTATTCTGGAGTTTATCAGGTAAGTGAATAGCATCTCAATTAATTTATAAGCCAAATTCTTTTTATCAAATATTGTTAAATTATAGTTATTTATATATTGCTATATCTTCAAATTTTAATATTAGTTATTTAAATTGAATTTTTTCATCATGCTGGGGTTTTGAGGAAAATAAAGAAATGTTTTATGATTAACTATTTTCAATTCTTTTAACATATTAATAATGTCTGATTTGAGGTTGAAGATTGATTTATCATTATGATTTATGCGTGGAATAATATTGGTGGATTCATTTGTGATGAATACGATGATAAATGTTAAAAAGAAATAATATGTTAATTTTATGAACCTACGTACACTAAATTTAACATGTGGAATTATATTAGAACGTTGGTTGCTAATGGCAGACTCGTTAGCCCTTGGCGCGTCATGGTACACTTAGCTAGCAGGGTGTTTGTTGAAGGTACTAGTCTCGTGCAAAGGCCAATGCATGTGGAATGGATGGACGGTAATTCTTGAGCATCGTACTCATACTTGTTTTCGTAGGCCTTGTGCCTGCGCTTATTTTGTAGCTTTTTGCCGCACTTGTTTCTATTGGATAAGGAGGCGCAGCGGAAAATTAAAAAAAAAATAAAATTCCTATTCTAATGTGGACCGAACAAACTTGTTTAAGTCAAGGTTGATCGAACAATTACCTTTTTAATTGCGAGTTCTTCACGTGTTGTCTTCAAGAAATTGGATCTCAAGAGCTGACAACATAGATATGTTCCCTCTACCAGTATCCACACGAACAACTCTCTAACTCGAATAGTGTGCTAGCGCTCCCAACGTTCGTTCATCTTTGAACGTTGGTTTTCTTTTTTTTTTTAGGGTGTTTTGTGGCTCTCAAAGTATTTTTGTATCAGAACTTTTCTAACTCTTTAAAACTCATAAAGCACGTCCCTTTTCTATCTTATTTATACATTAGGGGTTTTTTTTCCTTTAATAAGTCAACGAAAATATTAGATTAAATTTATCTCATAAATAAAATATATAATATCATATCTAATTTGAATTTATCTTATAAATTCAAACTATAGAAATGATATGATATTCTCTCATATCATGTTAGTTATTAAATTTAATTTATCACATAAAATTAAATTTAAAACTGACATAATAAAATATAATATATATATATATATATATCAGATATACATATTATATTATATATATGTATACACAAAACTACACATATATGTATACATATTTCAAAAATATATATATTATATTATATTTTAAATTTTATATATCATATATATATATATCATACACACACACATGAAGATACATATATTTTTCAATATATATATATATATATTTGTCAAATAAATATTCAAATATATTTAATTCATTTACCCTATATTACATTCATTAAATCTAGACATATTTCAAATTCAATGAACTTGGACATTATAGCTCAAGTTGAATTGTTCTTGTGTGTGACCTTATAAGCCCATATGAAAGTTGACAGCAGGCTAATTATACTATTAGCTCACAAGTCACAAGTGGCCTTTAGCAAGACATTGCAACTATTCAATTCATATGGGGATTGATGATCTAATGTAACCTATCATATAATCGTATCACATCCCTTTTGTCACGTGATATTTCGGTCAAGTGTGAGACATGAAATTGTCATTCTCCTTTACTTGACCTTTACTTTCTTGATCTCTTAGTGAACTGACATAACAATGGAAAAACCCTTTTCACTGTAGTATGACTATACATTTTCTCAGTTTTACTCATTGAGGTGCCCAGTAATATCTCTTAATTCACATAAGGGACAAATTTCATCTTGATCACTCATATTTCTTTGCATGAATATCACTATACTCAATCATAGCTTTTATGATCACCCGGTCAAAGGTGACTTTTGACTAAGTCAAAGTTCAGTGGTCATCATGTAAGAATCTATGATAATCTCAGGTCAAAGGGCTTAGTAATATAGTTACATATGAGATAAGCTTATGACTTGTACCATGCAGCTTTCTCATAGTGGGTCGGTGTAGCACCTTATATTCTTTCAAGTGCCTACGACTTTGATTTATATCTCTATAATTAATCAAAGTCATATAAGTCTTGTTTCATCAATGATCCCTTATAGATGACCGACTAGGGACATTTAACATTTAGGACAATAATTATAGTTTGTCCAAGGATATAGTTATCATAATGAACACGCAATCGATATGATAACAAAATAGAAATTCATTAAATAATAATGTACATAGTATAATGATTGGCTATAGGGCACAATTTCTAACATCCTCCCACTTACACTAGGTAGAATGATTAATTTTTCTAATTTTCATTGTCTTAACATGATGGTCTTGCTTTGCCTGTGTAAGAGGTTTTGCAAGAGGATCAGCAACATTGTCTTCTCTTATTACTTTGCATATTTTTATATCACCTCTATCATTGATCTCTCTGATAAAGTGAAAATGCTTAAGTATATGCTTGGTCTTTTGGTGTGACCTTAGCTCCTTGTTCTATGCAATTGCACCACTATTGTCACAAAACAAGTTTATTGGATCTGAGATGCTAGGCATCACTCTTAGTTCAGCAGTGAACTTCCTGATCCAAATGGCTTCTTTAAATTTTGAAATTATTATGGAAATGTTCATCTTTAGTTTCATGGCCTTCTGCCACACTTGGTTATTTACTCTCGTGGACTGTGTATCCATACTTATTAGTTATTTACCCTCGTGAATTGTGTATCCATACTTGTTAATGATTCTGATCAAATCCTATTAAAGAGTGAATATTGAAACTTAAGTTTTCTTAAAATTTGATCTTTTAAAGCAAAATGTTATTTTTACCATATTTGGATTTTATATTTAACTGGATCATTTCCGAAGTGTTTAAACATAGGTTGATGTTTAAAATGACACTTGAATTTCTAATAAATGGTAATTGAATTCATACATTCATGATTTTTACATTTACATAACTGTTGATATATATGTATGAGGTATATGCGTATATTATTTTCAATTGATTATTTCACTAAGTTTATAAAAGACTCATTAATGTACTTTTTATTATTTTCATCAACTGTAAGTTGAAATGTTATTTACTAGAAATTTTTAGTCTCAGATAATATAGCCGGTCTTACACCTTCAGATGATCCTTGAGGGGTTTAATTCTGAGTTGAAGTTGAAAAATTATCCTAGTTAATCTCCATCATTGTAAATCCTGAATTTGTATATTATATTTTGTGAATTTTATTTTAGGTACTCCACATAAACTATAATTAAGATCCTTGTTTACTATCTATATTGTTGGTCTGCTAGTAGGTGCTGAACTCTCTATTGTTATTTTGTTGTGATGTTGTTGTTGTAGAGCCTTTGTAAAATCCTATTTTTAGGGATGGTTTTGTCAAAATTTCTACAAAAAGTTTTGGAATCCTTTTGTTTGTACGAAAATGTTATAGTTATTGTCCAATCCTATTTCAAACAATTTAAGATATTAAATTAGATTTTCCAAAATCAAGGTTTAAAGGATGTGTATTTGTGTATCTATCATGCAACGGTCATATCTATTTTTGGGGTGTGATAGAGAAATTACTAAAGTCCCCCTTGCTTCTTGTTACAAAAATATTATGATAAAATCTAATGGGGTCTTGTTTTGTAATTTTCCTAACAAATTTTGGTCTTGTTTTGTAATTTTCTCAATAAGCTTATTATTTCACTCTCCTTTGTTCTTTGTCTTCAGTTGCAGAACAAAGTGAGAGAGAGCGTTTGCATTTGTCTCTATTTTTCTTCTCCTTTCCCGTCGCACAAGCTTCAATCTCCGCTATTGGTGTGCTTGTCTCCTCACCACCGGCAATTCATCCACTCATTTCCCTCTACTGTCCGTTCATTTTTGTCAACTGGTGTAGATGAATCTCTTCTCTATTTCTTCATTGTTTCATGGTCGACAGAGATAGGTACGCGTGCGTGTTCAACTTTCAATCTTTTTCTTCTTCCTCAGCTGTTGGACGTCCATGTGTGTACATAGTAAGCTTAAATCCTTCCTTTATCTGACATGAAATTTTTGTTTCTCTTCCTCCTAGTTGAATAACTGGATTGAAGCTTCTCCTCCCTTCTTTGGTATGGTCTGTGAGCTATGGTGTGGCAGCTACCACTATGCTTTGGTTGACGTAAGACATTTGTTCTTCCTTCTTCCTTTAATAACCGAAGATGTGCCTTGTCAATGTTTCTACCATAGAGTTTGTTAGGTGTTGTTTGGAATAATGTTAAATACTATTTTATTATATGCTGAGCTGAAATTTGGTGAAGAAAATTAGATGTTGGAAATTCTTGATTTTGCTTGAATGTTTGTCATATAATGTAGTTAATGGTGAATGTTCTTATATACTTGTAGGAATGCTTGAAAGAAGAAGTTGGTGAGAATAAGATTATTTAATTTTCATATTAGAATTTAGAAGAATTATATATGCTACTTGAGGAAGTATATGTCTTCATATAAATTATAAAGTTAGTCTACCTATTGGAATTGAGTAGCACCTAAAGGAGGAAAATTATAAGACTAAATGATAATTAAAATTTTTATTAAGCTTGGAATAAAATTTGCATTAATGGTTGACGTTAAATGTTGCCTAGTGTTGTTGATTACTTGATAGAAATTGTTGAAGGGTTTAATGAGAATTTAAGGGGTTATTGAGATATTTAAAGAATATTTGAAAAGCTTGAACATTAATTTTGCTTGCTTATATTAAGGAGGGAAATCAAAATGACATAAGATGTCTTGGTTTACATGATAGGTTAATTTGGGGCATTATTAGAGTAAGTAAGAAATTGAGAGAGGCTTACATAAATGTCACACTCCAAAAATAAGGTGCGACTGGCATAGAATACATGTATAAAACCCATATCCTATAAACCTTAATTTAAGAAACTTCCAAACTCACAGAATTGCCTCCGTAATCAGAGCTTAGTGAAGAATCAGAGCCTTCACAAGCGATTGAGCTGTTGCTCTGTGAAGAATCAGAGCATTCTTACGCTCTTCCTCTGTCAACTTGGTGGAATCCATTCGAGCTATTTTGTTCTACAATTTCATTTTGCATTGACCGAAGAAATTCCCAGGTGTGTTTAAGCTATTCATTCTCGTTTTTGTTCAAATGGTTGAGGTTTGAATTGGTGATTGTGGTAGCTATGGTAGCTATGGTTTGTGATTGATACTTGTACTGGATTACTTGCTTTACATTGATCATTTTCTTCTGCGGCTGGGTGCTCAATGAAAGCACATTGATGTTGTTTGCTATTCTTTCCATGGATGCATGCAAGGTGCTCGACAGAATGCCTCTAAGAAATTGGAAATCACCCAAGCACTCTTAGCCAAGAGAATTAGATTGGAATGTTAATTATTATACCTAATTAGAGCATCTCTTTTAAAATTAGTCCTAGTACACATTCCTTATTGGTTTAAGAGCTAGATTTTTGGGTAGAGTCCAAAGAGGAGGGGTCTGAATATGGCCTATATATCTATAAATCTAGCCTATATATATATATATATATCAAAATTAATATTTATTTAGAGCATCTCTTTCAAGGCATATCTATGAATGTAGCTTATATATCCACTGTTATTAGAATCCAAAGATGAGATATCAATATTTAGTAGTTCTTTAATTCTTATGTCGAGATAAAAATCAAGATTCATCGAAAAGAAGAAAAAAAATAGAGAGGCTACTGTTCTTGAAGTATTCCGTTGGGCATGGATATATTTTAATTTACTGCTATTGGAATCTAAAAATATAATGGAAAAATGCATGCTTGTGCACATGACACTAGCTAGTTGTTTAGTGTTTTTTTGGTTTAACCGTCGAGTAGGAGAATAAAAAATATTTCACATTTATCTTTTTAGTTAATGTTAAAGAAATTGACTTGTTGCTGTTGAATTAAGTTTGATTAAACTGTACAGGGATTGAATTTAATTCGAAGAGAGGGTAAAATGCCTAAGAAACTTTCAATTATAAGTCGTTATGCTGCCAAAATTTTGTTAAATAGTAACAAAATTTATGGCTTTATTAAGTTTCAAATGTTTGAAATTATTCCTCCAGCTACCAGTGTGATTAGGAAGAAAGTATTTGCTTCTTTTTCTTCTATTTTTGGTGGTCCGTGATGTTGCGGCCAAGGGGTTTGGGTCCCCTATTTTATGATATTCTGATGAAGATGGCGACTAAAATTTTATTTAATTATTCCAACTAATTATTTTTAAAAGAGTAAAAATATATATATATTTTGAGTTGCTATGGTTTGGAGCAGTGAGGGAAGAAACCTATTGAGTATGTATAGTATCTATTTGAACTTCTAGTTGAGGTTGCTAATCTTAGTTGTTGCTAAATGTGATTTAATGTTTGATTGGGATGAATTTGAAATATTTAGTGTTTATGATGATGTTTGAGTAATGTTGGAAATTGACCAGATCTATTGGATGTTTGTTGTAAATTGACCTTGATGCATTGATTGTGTTTGTTGAAGCATTGAAAAGAAAGGATTAAAGGAACTTATGTCTTGTAGAACATTATGAACTTTTAAGAAAACATGAATTTAACTTGGATTATTGTATTTTAAGTTAAAAAAAATTATAGAGGCCATAATTGTTGTTTGAGATTTCTTTTCTATGCTAGAGTGATGAGTTATTTAACTTTGCTAATTTGACTTGGTTGATGCATGATGTAACACTTGCCTTGAGTGTTATCCAAAAATCACATAATTCAAACTAAGTGTGGTTAAGGAGTTGATCCTCTAACCAACTTAAGAAATAAATCATTTAAAACTTTAAAAATAATTATAGGTTCTACCTATAGCGCACGGAAGCAAATTAGACGAAAATGGAATAAAAAGATGCTGTCATGACAGTAATTTATTGCTGTCATGACAGCCCTCCTGGGCCAACTTCCAGGAGGCGCCGTTCCGTCATTCGACCTCCGATCGAAGTAATTTTAAAGCTCACACATCACATTCAAAGGATACTATAAGTGTACCAAATTTCAAAAAGATCCAACGGTCGGATTAAAAATTAGACATGTTAAAATATTGACTATTTTTGCTGTCATGACAGCTAAAAAGCTGTCATGACAGCACCTCCGGACTAACTTCCGGGGTGCACCATTTCATCATCTGACCTCCGATCGGAGCGATTCTAAATTCCACATGTCACTTTTAAAGAATACTATTAGCATACTAAATTTTGAAAAGATCAAACAGACGGATTGAATTTTATACAGGTTACAACATCAATACTGTAGCTGTCATGACAGCAATTTAATGCTGTCATGACAGCACCTCCAGACCAAATTCTAAAGTGCGTCCTTTCTCCATCCGATATCCGATCGACGTGATTTCAAAGCCCACACGAAGCTTATAAAAGGTTTTACTTGTGACCCAAATTTTAGAGAAATCTAACGGTCGGATTAAGATTTGGACACCCGGATGCAAAAGTGCAGCTTTTTGGTAAAAACCATTTTCAAAATTGTCCAAATCTCATCCTAATGGTCACAAACCTGTGGGAACACTTTGGACACGTCAAATAAGACTAAAAACACCTGAAAGAACATTCAAATGATGGAAAACTCCCATACATCAAAATTTGACCACTCGGGTGCCATTTCCTAAAATGGACCCTAAACCCCCAAAATGCACAAATCATACAAGGGTGGTCACAAATCAATCTAAATACCATGTATTTATATAAATACATATCCTAAACATTTTCACTTGGCTCAGAGCTCCTTATGGGGCCCACGCACCCACTCTTTCTATCCAAGGTGTATATTTGCCCATAGCACACCATTTGCAATGCAACCACTTTGCATTTGCTTATAAAATCACATATATATCAAAATAAAGATCTGCTTGTAATAGAAACTTGGTCTACTAAGTAAATCCATCAAAACCACACACCATAACCAAGTTTCCTAGCCATAAGTCTGCAAACAGACAAAAATTCATACACAAGCACACAATCTACACATATTCACACATACATACATAATCATATCCTACTGGCACCCTAATCTTAAATACATTACAATATATTTGCTCAAAAGAAAGGGGTTGCAGTTCTTTACAAATCACAAGCAAACCCCTAGCTTTGCTCCTTTCCCCGTTCACCACTGGATCCTTCGCCTGGACCTAAAATATTGAAAAGAAAGGGGTGAGACAACCACAGTCTCAGTAACAGAGAAATCTACATTAATTATTACAAAGTAAGCCATAATCAAATAAATGAATAATAAATTCAACATAGTATATAATTTAGCCATTTAAAATGTATGAATGCATGACCTAGGCCGGTATGGCCTTTTATGACCAACAGAATGCCCCCTGGCACTCTTTAACTCACAGGTAAACCTTATACCTACTTGTACCTCCACAGGCACAAAACATAATCTAAGGCATGATCTAATCCACCGAACCGCCTATGCCCCTTCGACGTGAATCCTGAGCAGTCAAAGCTAACTCCCTCCCAGAGCCAGCCCGACTTACTCTCCATGTGAGGGCTACCTTGGCCTAGGCACTCAACCTCACACTTCATATGTCAGATTCCCTCCCCCACTGAGAGATGTCGAACACTCAATACACTAACCACTTTAGTGCACTGAGCCTACAATACGTAAGACACACTGAGTACTGATAGTATGCCATAGAATATCAAAAATCCACACCTTCTCATTGGTGAACTCCCACCGAGATCATGCCTTTTACTCTTGTCTACCTTTCCTAAGTATTGACCATTCAACACTCTAAAGTAGTGTAATATTTATAAATCTCATTTCCATAAAAACATTGTTATTAAACAATTAGAAAACATATTTGCACTATAATCAAAGTAGTACCCCATAACCCCTTATAAAGCACATTTAATCTTTTAAAACATGTAATGCATGATAACTAGTAATATTTATTCAAAAATAGCTAAAACAAAGTAATAAGAAATATAAATTCCCCTGTTATCTCAACCCTTTGGTACCAAAAGGGTTCCCCTTGTACAAAATAGGGCTTGGCTTGTTCCTTACTTCTCAATAAGTTCCACTAACAATTTTCTACAACATATAAGTGATCCACATCACTTATCATGACAAATAGCATTAATGAAGACTATAACTCATACCACACAACTTAGGTCAATGAGTCATAATCCACCATAATGGTCCATATATTAAACCAACCATTCACATAGTATCACTTAACCACTAAAACCATTTATTAGCCATCACTAGGCTAATTTTCAATTTATATAATTTTTTAATCAATTAAAAACCTTTACTTAGTGCCACCAACTTTCACCATTAGCCCTTATAATGAAAATCAAATCTTAATTTAAATCTTGTTGGACTCAAATAGCAAAA